ATATATTTATTATAATTTTAATTTATATCTTTAAAATATAAGTTACGTAAACCAATAATTTAGTGGTTTAGTGGTCCATCCAATGTAAATTATTTTTGCCCCAATAAATGCTCTTGGTGAGTGATCCAAAAACTTTGCCAACTAACCTTTAAAAAGTTGAAATGGATTGGTGTAGACAACACTGGCTGCATGCCAAGTGGTAACTACCTATATTATTTTCTTTTTCAAAAACAGCAATAACCTTAAAACTGCCAAGCTACCAACCTCGAGAAAATCATGGAGCCAATCTGTCATCTCACTAATCACCTCTAAATACTGTTTTAAAGAATTATTATTATTATTTTTTTAACAAATTATCAAAGACGGGTTCGGAGAGGGAGAATGCACTTCAAATTGGTAAGTTGTTAGTTGGTTTGAAGGGTCCAGATGCATTTTAAAAAATTATTTTAAGTGATTAAGATTTTAAAATTTTAATTTAAAGATTTTGAATTCAAATTTTAAAATAAATAGAAAATAATAAAAAAAATCATTTATTATATTAGTCTATCATATAATTTACTAAATTAAAAATCAGCTAGACATTCTAATTTATATCACTTCTATACCTTCAAATGAAAAAAAAAAATCATTTATAAATGTGTTACAATTTTGAGTGAATTAAGAGTTTTTTTTTTTTTTTCTATCATACGCTAGTACAACTTTTCACATTTATTCTGTATTAAAAAGACAAGTGCTTATATTCTCTTTTGCATTTTCAACAGCAATAAAAACTGCTCATATTACCATTTCCACGCGCACGTGTGGCTTTAGACCACGTCATAAAAAAATTTTAAAAAAAAAAACAATTGTAAAACATAAAAGTACTTCTCAAGTTCATTTTCATGAAAGCAAAGTATGAAAATAGCCTTCTACCAAAAAAATATAAAAATAGCCATAAATTTATTTAAATAATTTAAATTAATTTTTTTAATTAATTCTCTTTTTTTTAAACAAATTTGCAAGGGATTGAATTCAAAATCCTGAAAAGGAAAAAATACACCTACACGTGGTCTGACAATACTAAATCGAAGACTCAAGTGCAATTAATTCTCTTTTTATATAGATTAATTAAAGAGATTTATATAATTTCATAGGCATTACAAGTTGACTTAAAAATTTGCAAATCTATTGTAAGATTCAATCTCGAGAAACAGGGAAAAGAGAAAAAGAAGACATTCTCTTGGTTGGAAGATTCAAAATTCAAGGAAAAAAAAAAAAAGAAAGAAAGAAAAACCTCCATTTACCTCAATTTTGAAGACATTGAGATCCCCCGTCTTGCTGAGGCTCTTCTTCCCCTGAGGAACAGCAGATTGAAGAAGACAAATCATTGATTCCCACTGGTTCCGATTCAATGAGTCTCCGACAAACATTAGCCTCTTCCCTCGGAGTTTTTCCAGCAACAACTTTGCTTTGAATCTTCATTAAAAATAAAAGAAAAAAGAAAACTAATTAAATATATAGATTCACCGTCATTTCTTTACGAAGGCAGAATTAAAAAGAGTATAATATTTACTTTGGCAAAGAACATCGGTGGGGTTGCCATCTCCAATTCTGGTAAGAAGAGTCTGGTCTTCCATTTCTAACGCAAGTTACTTGTCGAGATAAAAACTCACATTCATCTTCTCTGTATAGAGGATGAGTTAAGTTGTCAAAAACCCAATTTCCGGTGAACAGATCACAGTCCTCCGGCGGTAGAATCACCTCCTCCTCCGGTAGAATTACCTCCTCCTCATCTTCTTCCTCCATGATTCCCAGTGGTTTCTGAGTCGAAATCAATATCGACTTCGTCACCACCAATCTACTGTCTCCATTGAAAATTGAGAACTTGAACACCAGAATCAATGCCAAGGAAGACATAACCAGTATCCCAAAGCTTGACTTCATGGCCAGGAAGCTGTAGATGAGCAAAAACTGATCAGCAAACCCAAAAAGAAGAGAAACTTAAAGGTCAAGGGAGATATATATAGAAGCAAAAACTAACCTTTTTGTTTGGAACATTTTCTGATTATGTTCTTTTTCTTCCCACAACCATCTGCAGTATCAAAGAGAATTTTGGAAACCTGTTAGAGAACCATCTCTTTCCACTTTCTTAAGACAACTTGGGGTTTAAATTTTATCTCAATTGTTGCGCTGTCTCCTAGGTCAATGTACGCAGTTGTTTACATGGGTTGTAACTACTTATTTATATATTTATTTTTCTTGGGCAGGTGAGTAGCTGGTTGTTTATTTACATTCAATTCACAGGAAGCAAAAGCCGATAGATGTTGACATTAGCCGTGGCGGAGGCGGAGCTATGTTAGGTCTTTCTGAGAGGTTTAAAATTAGTTTATAAGTTTTTCATTTTAAGATTTTAACCCTTAATTTTTGTTTAATTCACCATATTATTTTAATATTTATGAGAGCAATTACCCTTAGTTTTTTCATAAATCTTGTTCTTAAATCCATAGCTAAATGTTAATATAACAATTTGTGAGTCTTGAAGTTGAATCATTAAACATAAAAAATTTCCTTTTACTCTCTAATATTTTCTTGCCAAAAAATTGAATGAAAAAAGAATGTTTTAAACTTTTAATATTTCTCCTCTTTACCTTAGATTGTAATCACTTTTGTACAGCATAAAATTAGTGTAAAATATTTAATTAAGTCACAATAACTTATTCTTTTACAATATCAAAGATTAACCCCCTTTTTGGTTTGAGAGAAATGGATCTCCTCTCCTCCCCTCCTCTACTTTTGTTTGATGAGATTAAAGTACAGAAGAAATTAAAGTAAAACAAAGGAAAACCCCTCCCGTCCTCTCTAATTTTCGGTTAACTAAATAGAGAAATTTCTCTCCCTCTCCTCTCCTCTCCTTTTAAACCAAACTATAAAACTTTACTCAAATTTTAGAATTTTCTATTGAATTAAACATGTTCATCTTGTTCTATTATTTACTATATTAATTTTTTTCTATGTTTCTAAGACTATTACATACTATATTTTTTAGTAGTTTTTATTTTACTTTTTTTTGTTCACAAATACAGCTAGACAAATATTAATCACCAAAAATTCCAAAGGGATGATATATCTTACATCAAGCATAGCAAAGTTTACATAATTCTTATAGTTTCAACTTTAAAATAATAAATAAATATTTTAGACGTAAGTTTGAT